ATCAAGTTGGTTATGATCGATCAAATTGAATTATGACCGATCAGATCTATTGCAATCGATTAAAACGCATTTCAATCGATTAAACGCATTTCAACCGATTAAAACAACGTGGAAAAATTCTGTACAGAGTTTTAATCGATTAAAACCTATGGTTTATCAGTTAAAATAACTTGAAAAGTTTTATAAGAAAGTTTGCGATATTTCAATCGATTAAAACGCGAAAGAATCGATTGAATTAACTTAGAAGATTTTTGTAAAGTGTTTTAAGCTGATATAAACGTTGTCATATCAGCTTAAACAAATCTGTTAAAGAATCAAGAAAATATTAATGGATTGAAAGGACTTTTAACAGATTGAAACGGCTATTTCAACAGATTAAAACAAACTTTTAACAGATTAATTAATGCAGCAGTTTTGAAAATACTCTTTAAAATCAGAGTTGCTTGGAACTTTTTACACATCAGTTTTTACAAATCCTTAAGCAATCATTCAAGCAATCCTTATCACTCTTTTCAAGAAAGACTCGCAACAATTCTTTAGAAGTTCTTTTGAAAATCTTTCTTGAGGCAACTTGCATTCATTTGAAGAAGAAACTCTCTGCAGATTTGGATAAACTGGTTTGAGCTTTCTAGTTTCTTCTTTGTCAATTCTTTTTCATTCTTTTGTATTGTGTTGTGCCTGGAATTTGGGCACAAGTTTCTCTGCAGCTGGAAGTTGGTTGTGGAGGTTATCAAGAACTGGAATTTGGTTCTTGGTGGAGAGGTTAGGTGTTGGTGCCTGGAATTTGGGCACTGGTTTCTCTGCAGCTGGAAGTTGGTTGTGGAGGTTATCAAGAACTGGAATTTGGTTCTTGGTGGAGAGGTTAGGTGTTGGTGCCTGGAATTTGGGCACTGGTTTCTCTGCAGCTGAAATTTGGTTGTAGAGGTTATCAAGAGCTGGAATTTGGTTCTTGGTGGAGAGGTTAAGTGCAGGAACTGGAATTTGGTTCTTGTGATAGATTAGGTGTAAGATTGTTGAATCTGTAAAACATTTAATCTAGTGGAACCCAGCTAGAATTTGGCTAGAGACTGGACGTAGCCCTGGTATTGGGTGAACCAGTATAAAATACCGGTGATATCTTCCTTAACCTTTCTCTCATTTAAATTCAGTTGTTGCGCTTATTTTAATTGATTGCTTTGAGATTCAATAATAGATTAGTAAACTTAATTTTCGAATTAGATAATCTGTGAATTGCGAAAAACTTTCGAAGATCAATTCACCCCCCTCTTGATCTAAAACTACTTTTCCAACAATTTTCATTTGTATATATATTATAGAAATAAAAATAAATTATATTTTAGAATATATAATTTTTCAAATGATCGATTACTTTTCCAAAATGATCGATCACTTTTTCAAATAATCGAGACTTTAGATAGCGGTTAACGTGGAACCGCTATCATATATTCACATATGATAGCGGTTCCACTCTAACCGCTATCTTAAGTCTCGATTATTTGAATATATTTTAATGTAAAATTATATATATATATATATATATATATATATATATATATATATTCCAAAATATCATTTATATTAATTACTATAATATAAAATATATATTCCACAATATAACTTATTTTCATTTATATATATTATAGAAATGATAATAAATTTTATTTTAGAATATATAATTTTGATATAAAATTATATTTATATATATATATATATATTTTTTTCTAAAATATAATTTATATTAATTACTATAATATAAAATATATATTCCACAATATAACTTATTTTCATTTATATATATATATATATATATATATTATAATGAAATGAAAATAAATTATATTTTAGAATATATAATTTTGATGTAAAATTATATTATATATATATATATATATATATATTCTAAAATATAATTTATATTAATTACTATAATATAAAATATATATTCCACAATATAACTTATTTTCATTTATATATATATTATAGAAATGAAAATAAATTATATTTTAGAATATATAATTTTGATGTAAAATTATATTTATATATATATATATATATTCTAAAATATAATTTATATTAATTACTATAATATAAAATATATATTCCACAATATAACTTATTTTCATTTGTATATATATTATAGAAATGAAAATAAATTATATTTTAGAATATATAATTTTTCAAATGATCGATTACTTTTCCAAAATGATCGATCACTTTTCCAAATAATCAAGACTTTAGATAACGGTTAACCTGAACCGCTATCATATGTTCACATATGATAGCGGTTCCACGTTAATCGCTATCTAAAGTCTCGATTATTTGAATATATTTTGATAGAAAATATTTGAATAAAAAAACTTCATTTTATAAAATAATTCGCTCTTGTTTGTTTAAAATAAAGATTGAGTATAGAAATTGTTAAATAATGGGTTTATATAACTTGGTACTGTGTATAATAACTGATAAAAACGTTTTTATTTATGTGATCCATTAATTGTTCTAGACATTTCTAATAAAGTATTTAAAGAATTTACTATTTTCCATAAAAATACAGTAAATGAATTTTCTGTTTAAAAAACTGTTTCATAAAGAACGTAGAGAAGTAATAGAAAGATATTTAATGTTTTTTGAAACTGGTCAAAAGCATTTAATGGCACATAATAAATTTTAAATGACTATTACTCACTTTTATTTATTTATTTATTGAACTATCTGATTTTCGAAAACTTTTGTTTGGTAGTTGAAAACAACGTTAACGAATCAATTTGATAAATAATATAACTTTAAAAAAATATTTAAATAGAACTTTTTTATTTATTTTCTTATTTTTTTGTCTCTCTATTTATATTTTTTTCTTTATTTAGTGGTTTTTTTAGAAAATATTATATAATAAATTTGAGATGTTACAAATATTATTGTTATTTTATAATTATCAAGAAAACATTAAACATTTATTTTGAAATAATTTTTTAATAAATATTTTTTAAATTAACTAATATAACTAATTATCATAATTCAACCTAATTATAATTATATTAAATTATTAAGTAAAAAATATATTTTAACTCATAAATATTTAATATTTTTTAATTAAATAAGTAATTATTATTATTATTATTACGATAAAAGAATTTTAAATTAATTATTTATATTATAGTAAATAAATAAAATTATTTATTATAATCATACTTTTAAATAATTATTTAATATTTTTTAGTTTTAATATTAATTTTAGAATATTTGTTTTAGCATATTTTTATTAAATTTTAATATAGTAATTTAAGTAGGAGAATAGGTGAGAGAGGAGAAAGAGAAAGAAGAGACTTAAAGATAGAAAAAAATGAGAAAGAAAACATATAGAAGAAGAGAAAAAATAAAAAAATTTATTATAAAAAAGAAGAAAACTATATGTGAAAAGTAAACTTGTCTAGGTAGATAAATAAATTCACGTAAATTTTATCTGATTAATTTTTTTTAAAATATATTATTTATGAATTAATACCCAACATTAACTATTTTATTTATTTATATCTACTCTTTGTCTAATATTTAATTAGTTTATATATATAGATATAAAAATATTTTAAAATATTAAATATTAATAATATTTGAATGTATAAATTAAAATAATAATTTAATATTTTTTTATTTTTTTTAAAAGATAAAAAAAATTTTAATATCTAATTTAAATAAAAGATAATAAAATAAAATTTTTAACCGTTTTTATATATATGAACGAATTATAATTTATAGGAAGTCATCATGACATATACTTGAATATTTGAGGTGTAGGAATGTTAATGGGGTGGGGCGGGTACGGTAGTAGTTCTCCGCTGGATAAATATCTGTGATGTACTCATCTCATTTCCGTGTGGGTATTCACGTATTTTTTTAATGTCTGCAAATATCCACGGATACCGTAGATATTTTAAAAAATTCTAAAAATATTTAATAAAATATTTTAACTATAAAAAACTATAAAAAATTTGTATAATGTTTGTAGAATTATCTTGATCGTGTGTTTTCATTTGGGATTAAGTTGTTGCTTTAAAAAGAAACTGTTTGCAAAAATAATTGTTTGTTTTCACAAAAGTTAAATTTTGTAAAAACAATTGTTTTGAAAAATGATGCATTTTCTTATATTTCAAAATTTTTAATTTATGATCATTTTTTGACAATTTTTTTCTGAGTTTTGTTTGTTTTTTTTAATGTAAAAGTTATTTTTTTAATTAAAATAAAATTAATTACGTCTGATGTAAACTGTCCATAAATCAATCAGTGTTAGCTAAAAATAATTTATATTTATATTTAAAATAATTTTTTTACCCTTAATATAAGTAAATATCTCTAAAGTCTAATTAATCTAAACAAATTTAACAAAATATAAGATTTTTAACATATAAAAAATCACAATACAATGACAAAATGGAGAATTTATTCTTATATATAAAAAAATCTTAAATGAGCTAATATTTGAGAGAAAAAAGTCTATGAATATTAATTTATCATTAATAATGAACAATAATCATTAAAATCTTTAATAATGAACAATAATTATTAAAATTTATTATCTTTTCCAAACATTTAATAATGAACAAAAATTAAATAAGAAAATTATAGAGTCTACATTAAAATATTTAGATTGTATTCCTATTGTTTTGAACTGCACCGGATACCATGGTGGAAAATAATAAGCATCCACTCCCTTTTAGGATCTGTGTGGAACATGACAGAAAATAAAGAAACAGAGTGAAGTTATGGATTTATAAATTATGAAATAAAAAGAAAAACGGGATGAAAGTGAAAAGAACCAAGAAGAAGTGATTTACGATAACAATAATATAAACCACAATTAAAATTAATAGGAAAGGGATATGATGGAGATACAATATCAGAAGATGCATTCAAACAATGCTCTTAAGAAGATACAGTAAAAGAAACAAAACATCATCAAACTTTGATTGCAAATACAAATAATTATTCTCGGAGCTTGGTTGGATTCAAGGTAGAATTTGGCTTGGCCATTTAGGGAGAACAAGGGACATAACATTATTTGAAATGCGCATATCTTCATCCACCCTTGCTGTGAACACACACTCCAATTTCTGGTTTTCAAAATCACACAAGAAAATACCTTTCTTTGAATACAAATACATCTTATTTTCACAGTGAGGATGAAAAGCCAACAAGTTCATATTCTTGATATTTACTTCTCCCTCTTCAAAATCATACTGTCTAGTGAACCATGACCCTTCTTCAAAATTTACAAATTCATAAACTAAAACTTCTGATCTTGTCTTTGAAATTTCACAGGCCTTAACTTGCCCATTGCATGTATTCCATTGAACACTTGCATCAAGAAAAGGATAAGAAATCCTCATGGGTATTATTTTCCACACCCCACCATTAAACGGATCACACACAAAAAAACCATGTAGTCCCATCCACCAAACAAACTTTTCATTATAGATAAAAATGTTTCTAGATGTCTTTGACAATAGAGCTTTGCCAACCTCGAAAGCACTCATGTTCACTTCAAACTTTGTCCATTCACCTGTCTCAGATGAAAACAGGTTCACTTCAAACTTTGAAACGTATTGAAAACAATTGACAGGTATGTGCACAACACGAAACCTTGACCGAGATTGGTCACAAATGAAGCCTACACGAGGCAATTCTTGTGCATGACTCTTCTTTAATTTGGGCAAAGCTACATGTTGTTTTGTGAAAGGGTTGCATACGAAATAGTTAGTGTAACAATAATTGTGAGTACGGCATAAAACTAGGTCGTAATGTGTGCCTTTCACTTTGACTCGATCCCAATCCAGAGGCCAACAACGAGGGAGAAAATCAGACCCTCTTAATATATGAGTATTGTTGTTGGAATCTACAGGGAAAAGCATAATCTTGTTGTAGTTGGAATCCAAATGTAAGTGAAAGAGGAGAAACAGTGCATGCCTTTCAAAAGCACTAGGTAACGATTGGGATGTGTCGGACGCGAGTGAACGAAGAGTGGATCAGAAATCACACGCAGAAACTGTTTGTTGAAAAATTTGCAATGAAGAAGAAAAGGAAAGGGTGAATGGAGAAGAATTTCACCAAGTAGACCATCAGGGAGTTTATCCATCATCCCACGTTTTTAACACTTCTTTGTTCAATGTGCTGGGACCTCTAGTGGGTTTATATAACTTGGTACTGTGTATAATAACTGATAAAAACGTTTTTATTTTTGTGATCCATTAATTGTTCTAGATATTTCTAATAAAGTATTTAAAGAATTTAATATTTTCCATAAAAATACAGTAAATGACATTATCTACGGATTTTTGTCATTACCTACTGATTTTACCAAGTATATAATAAGAGTTACATAATAAGAGTTTTTTTTAATGAAACAACATATAAAATAAAACAAATAAAAAGTAAATGAGGAAAGAGAATATAAGATAAAATGATTTTTTTTATTTTATTAAAAAAAAATTAATGAAATAAAATTAATAGTAAATTACTTAAAAATAATATGATATAATATATCTATATTTAATATTTTTCAATATTACAATATATTAGAGATGCACAATTTTAACCAATTTTTTAAGTTATTCATAGAATTTATAATAAAATAATTATTTTTATTTATGAATATTTGTCGATAAAAACTTCCTTTTAATCAATATTTTACTCAAGTATTTCACCAAATTGATAAAAAATATAATTAGTTTCATAAAATTACTGATTTTTCTTTTTCAATTTTTAAATTTAAACCGACTCTTACAAATTTTGATAGATAATTGACCGTTACTCACATTTTAAAAATTTTACATAACAAACACATTACACGAATATTTGATGATATTTTAACAGACGAATATTTGATGATATTTTAATTTAATCTTTTAAATTAAAGTTTGAATGATTTCATAGTTAAAGATGTAATTTATTTTTAACGGTCAATAACGTAAATATTTAAATTTGAGTCATTAATCAACATACAAAATAAAACAAATAAAAAGTAAATGAGGAAAGAGAATATAAGATAAAATGATTTTTTTTATTTTATTAAAAAAAATTAATGAAATAAAATTAATAGTAAATTACTTAAAAATAATATGATATGATATATCTATATTTAATATTTTTCAATATTACAATATATTAGAGATGCACAATTTTAACCAATTTTTTAAGTTATTCATAGAATTTATAATAAAATAATTTTTTTATTTATGAATATTTGTCGATAAAAACTTCCTTTTAAGCAATATTTTACTCAAGTATTTCACCAAATTGATAAAAAAATATAATTAGTTTCATAAAATTACTGATTTTTCTTTTTCAATTTTTAAATTTAAACCGACTCTTACAAATTTTGATAGATAATTGACCGGTTACTCACATTTTAAAAATTTTACATAACAAACACATTACACGAATATTTGATGATATTTTAACAGACGAATGTTTGATGATATTTTAATTTAATCTTTTAAATTAAAGTTTGGATGATTTCATAGTTACAATATATTAGAGATGCACAATTTTAACCAATTTTTTAAGTTATTCATAGAATTTATAATAAAATAATTTTTTTATTTATGAATATTTGTTGATAAAAACTTCCTTTTAAGCAATATTTTACTCAAGTATTTCACCAAATTGATAAAAAAATATAATTAGTTCATAAAATTACTGATTTTTCTTTTTCAATTTTTAAATTTAAACCGACTCTTACAAATTTTGATAGATAATTGACCGGTTACTCACATCTTAAAAATTTTACATAACAAACACATTACACGAATATTTGATGATATTTTAACAGACGAATGTTTGATGATATTTTAATTTAATCTTTTAACGAATGTTTGATGATATTTTAATTTAATCTTTTAAAAAATGTATTGGTTGTCAGAATATAAATGCTCCTCAATTTAACAATATTATTCAAATTAATACTTCTAGAAACAATGAGAAAGAGATAATCCATCAGAAAACATAAAAGAAAGAGTGGTCTCAAAACAACGTACAAATCAATCAGATAGAGTTTCTGAAACCTTCAAAACAACATACAAATCAATCAGATAGAGTACATGAGTTTCTGAAACCTTCAAAACAACATACCACTCAATCAGATCGAGTTTCTGAAACCTTTGCTGTACTCAAGGAAGGAAGTGGAGTTGGCCATTCAGGAAGAACAAAAGACAGAGCATTTTGACCACTGAAGACTATACGTTCACCCTCTATAGTGTAGATGCGCTGTAGTGTGCCATTTTTAAAATCACACACGAAAATACTATCCTTCGAGTAAAAGTACATGATATATTCGCAAAAAGGGTGAAGAGTCAGAAAGTTCATATCTTTTATACCAAGTCTTGTGCCATCATAGTCACTGCTTCGCCATATTCCACTCTCATAATCTTCGAGTTCACGAACTTTACAAACCGAATCTTTCTTTAAAAATTGACATATCTTCACTCGCCCATTGCTTATCCCATTGTATATATCACAATTCTCATCTGCATAACGAAAACTGTAACGAATGTTCATTTTTTTTGTTTCCCACTTGAATTCTCTCCCGTTAGAGGGATCACACTCAAGAAAGCCTATCCAATCTATCCACCAAATGAACTTTCCATTGTAGACAAGAATGTTCCTGTACCAATTTCTAAACATTGAAACCCTGTAACTATACGGGACAGGAACATTACAAGCACTCCATTCACCTGTCTCCGATGAAAACATGTTTATTTGAAAACTGTCAATCATTTTAAATAACATCAGAGGAACATGTACGACCCAAAATCTTGAACGAGATTGGTCAAACATGAATCCTATGCGTGGACATTCAGGTGAATGACTCCTTCGTAATGGTGGCAAAACAACATGTTGTTTTGTAAAAGGATTGCATACAAAATAGTTAAAGTGAGAATTATTGTGAGTGCAACACAGCAGAAGATCGTGGTGCGTGGCTTTCACCACAACTTGATCACGATCTTGAGGCCAAGAAAGAGGAAGAAAATTACATCCATTCAGTGAATGAGTCTTGTTGTTGGAATCGATGGATAAAAGAATTTTCTTTGCAAAGAGGCTAGTCGGCCAAAATTGAAAGAGGATAAATAGGTTTTGATTTTTAAATTCACGAGGCGATAATAGAAGACAAGCTCGACATGATTTTAGGAACTCTGATTGAGAAATCAGATGCATGAAACGTTTGTTAGAAAAAAGGAGCGGAAGACAAGAAGTGAAGGGCATACGGTGAAGAATTTCTGCAAGAATGTCTTCACTGATTTCTTCTATGGATGTGGGTTTTGAAAGAAGCATTTTTGTTGCTGAAAGTGCCATGGTTCAAAGTAAGCTTGATTCATTCTTTGTTTTACGTTCCTTATATAATATGCTAAATGACAGAGTTTTTTTTTTTTCTTTAATCATATTTAAAAAAAAATAATTTCCAAGGATATATATTAATTTTTATTTTATAAAAAAAATTCATACGATTTGTTTCAATTCTTAAATTATGAGATTATTTTAAATATTTTGTCATAAAATTGCTTGAGAAGATAAATAAAATAAAATTCACGCTTAGAATATTAGTATTACTTTGTTGCAATATTTTGTCATTAAAAAGTATTATGTGATTTTAAAGGAAAAAAATTATTATTTTTTATTTAAAAGAATGCTAAACTATTGAGTAGTTGAGTTTTATAAACGTAATGTTTTTAAAAATATTCACAAGTTTATTTCGAATTTTATAATAAAATATTATTTTAAATTTTTTATCGTAAAATTAGTTATTTCTTTAAAAAAATATTTTATAATAGTATAAAACATAAAATATATATTAATTATATTATTAATGACACATATTATTTTATATATTTTGTAATAACGATATATGTTATTTTAAATTAATGACTCAAATTTAAATATTTACGTTATTGACCGTTAAAAATAAATTACATCTTTAACTATGAAATCATTCAAACTTTAATTTAAAAGATTAAATTAAAATATCATCAAACATTCGTCCGTTAAAATACCATCAAATATTTGTGTAATGTGTTTGTTACGTAAAATTTTTAAAATGTGAGTATCCGCTCAATTATCTATCAAAATTTGTAAGAGTCGGTTTAAGTTTAAAAATTGAAAAAGAAAAATCAGTAATTTTATGAAACTAATTATATTTTTTATCAATTTGGTGAAATACTTGAGTAAAATATTGCTTAAAAGGGAGTTTTTATCAATAAATATTCATAAATAAAAATAATTATTTTATTATAAATTCTATGAATAACTTAAAAAATTGGTTAAAATTATGCATCTCTAATATATTGTAATATTAAAAAATGTTAAATATAGATATATCATATCATATTATTTTTAAGTAATTTACTATTAATTTTATTTCATTAAATTTTTTTTAATAAAATAAAAAAAATCATTTTATCTTATATTCTCTTTCCTCGTTTACTTTTTATTTTGTATGTTGTTTGATCAAAGAAATTTAAATAAATTATCATGCCAGAATTCTTGAAATTGGAAGTTATTTTAAACAACTAATATTTTATTAAGCATTTTAATAGTTATCTCTCAATTTTCACCCATTTTCTCAAAATTTAAGTCATTAAAATATGAAATTTATAATAAAATATTTATTAACATATCCAATTAAATAACTTAAAAGATAAATAAAATAAAATAAATAAAAAAAGAATAAATTCTTTAAAATTTATTAAGACAATTTTTATTTTAATAAAATTAATTTTAAGTTACTTAATAAAAATGTGGTACAATATATATATATATATATATATATATATATATATATATATATGATGATAAAAAAAAATAACTTTTAAGTGTCACTATTAATAAATCAAGAGTCGATTTAAATTTAAAAAAATAGGAAAAAAATCATCCGTTTTCTGAAACTAATTATACTTTTTATTAACCTTACTGTCTGACACTTTCATAGAAAAAAAATCATTGTATAAAAGTAAAAAAGAAAGAAAGTATATTGATAGTGAAAAATTATATAAAAAATTAATATAAGGTTGGAGATTTTGTGCGTTACGAGACCCGGCAATAATAATTATTTGGTGAAATACTTTATTAAACTATTAGTTATTTCAATTAACTTTTTTATTGGAAGAATTTTATATAATAGGATAAGTTACTCACAATTTTTGATAGTTGTTTTATTAAATAACTTATTAAAATAAATGAGGAAGAAGAAAATAGGGAAGAAAGAAATTTTTGATAAGTTACTCACAATTTTTGATAGTTTTTTATTATATTCTTTTATATATATATTTTTTATATTTTTGAATAGGAAATTTAAAATTTATATTTTTTTTATTTTATGAATTATTTAAGTTATAATTTTAGAAAAAAATTGATAAATTTAATATATAAAATATTAAAAGTAAAATTAAAAATAAGTTATTAGTAGCAAAATAAAAATTATAAAACATGATATTAAAGAAAAATAATAAAGGTAGAAAGATTTTTATAGAGTGAAATAATAGAGGTTTATGAAGAAGAAAATCTTCTACAAATTTCTCCTGAAATTAAGAACAATCACACTGACGAAATCCAAAACGTAATAGAGCGTGATTCTCGTTGTAGAAGCTGAACACCAATTTTGAGATTAATATTTTTTTAACATTATTGTCAATAATTTTATTTTTCAATTTTTATTATCAATGATAATGTTATTTTTAATATTATACATTAAATTCTGTCAATTTTTATTTTTAAGTTTATTTTATATTAATAATAATAATTTTTAACTAATTAAATAATATTTTTACTTTATTATTTAAAAAAATTAATTTTAGCATGAAACTTTTAATATAATATTTATAATTTATCAAATAAAAACTATTACATAAATTTTTATAATATAATATTTAATTTTTTAATATATTACCTAAATTAAATTTTTATTTATTCTATTTTTTTTCTAAAATTATAACTTAAATAATTCATATAATAAAAAAATATATAAATTTTAAATTTCCTATTCAAAAATAAAAAAATAAATAAATAAATATAATAAAAAAATATTATTTAATATTTTTAATAATTATTTAAATATATGTAAATAATTTAATATATATTTCAATAATATATTATTTTTATTATTTTTTATATAAATATTATTTAAATTTTAAAATTTAAATTTTATTTTTAAAATTAATTTTATTATTTTTAATTATATATTTTATTTAATTTTTTTATTTAAAAAAAAGTGATAAGTTTAAAGTTAGAATTCGGTTTACGGAAACCTAATTTTAAGTACAACAATAAAAGAGTAAAAGAGGTTCAGTTAAGTAAATAATTTTATAAGAGGTTCGGTTAAATAAATAATTTCATCAAAGATTTTGTTAGACATATATATAATATATAATAATATTATTTTAATAAAAAAAGTCGAATAAAGAGAATAGATTTTTTAAAAATTTTTAAATTGAGTAAAATTACAGATTTGTTATAATACAAACAAATTCTTATTTTTAATTTTTTAAAATAATTATACGCGTTACTCTTTCAAAAGATCCCCTAACACTTTTTTTTTTTACAAGTTTTAACCAATAAATATACATGTTTTTCACATAATTATTTTTAAAACAGCTAGTAATAACTTTTAAGTCTCACTGTTAATAATTTTATTTTCTTCAAATAACCAATTGGTTAACCCTGCAAGCATTACTCGACTAGTTAGTTTAACATGTTTAATTGAAAATCAGTTTAAAAATGGATTGTTTGTAAATAATTACACTTTAATTAAATTAGAATAAAATCGATAAAATTATAAAAATTAATTGCATTTGTTTTGGTTGAATTGATTTTTAATAAAAAATTGAGATAAATTCTTTTTAATATAAATTTAAAATATATATAATATATATTAGTTTTTTTATCTGATATTAATTATTTTAACTTTAAATAACACGTAATTTTTATTATTATTTTTAAATATTAATATTAATAAACTTATTATATATTTATTATATTATAAAATATTATTTTAATAAAATTAGTTGATCCTCTAAAACAATTAAATATTTAAATTTTAAATTTATGTCTTTATTAATTTGGTGAACGATTTATTTTAAAAATATTAATTAAAAGAATATAATTCACAATCAATATACAACTTAAAATGAAATTTATTAAATTAAATATTAAAGAATATTTTAAATACATCATAATGACTTAAAATTTGATTGAATACATAATAAAAGGTGAAACAGATAAACTTTGTCAGACATTGACTACTGCGTTGAAGGTGGAGGGAGTGGACTTGGCCAACGAGGAAGAACAAGAGACATAGCATTACCCCAAACCCTAATATCTTCATTCCCTGCAGTGTACTGATATACTCTGCTGCAGAATGCTCAAAGGTTTTAACACTCTTCGAGTGAGTGTCCACTCCTCAGAAAATTAAGGGAAAAAGAATAATAGAATTTGGGGGAAAAATGATCTTGAAAACTTTTATTCTGTTTTGTTTTGATTACATCATAGCTATTAAAAGGAATTAGGTACTAACAATCAAGCAAAAATTAGGGAGATAAAACAAGAATTAAACTAATAATTTGCAGCAGAAATTTCAGGAATTAATTTGAGCATATTAGGATCTTCTAATTTTGTCCGCATACATAATTTGAGCATATCAGGATCTTCTAATTTTGTCCGCAGACATAGTCAGTCATCCACGCTGGCTTCTTTCTTGCTCGTTTCTTTACTATTGGGTCATCCTTCTTTATTGGGTCTGGGTCCACTGGTTGGTTTGTATCATTTTCCCCTTTTGCAGAACTCACCTTGTCCTCAAGGTGAAAATCAGGATAACAAGTGCGAAAATTTTCCAAGTCTTCCCAGGAAGCTTCATCAACTGGACAACCCTCCCAATGCACCAAGAGTTGTTCCTGTGGTTGTCCGTGAACTAACTGAGTTCGCCAATCTAAAATTGCCCTTGGTTGATCAATAGGTTGGTTATCAAAGCTTTCCAAGGGTAAGTCACATGCAGACATCTTATTAGTCCCACGAAAAGGTTTAAGAGCAGACACATAAAAATCCGGGTGAATGCGACTACCAGGAGGAAGTTGGAGTTTGTATGCCACTGTCCCAATGCGCTCGATGATGCTATAAGGACCATAAAACCTCTTCGAGAGCTTGTGGTGTTTCAATTGACGGACTGATGTTTGGCGATACGGTCTGAGGCGTATGAGAACCAAATCACCAACAGCGAGAGTAATGTCTCGACGATGTGCATTGGCCTTCTGACGCATTCTATGTTGAGCAGCAGTTAAATTTGTCTTCAAAGTGCGGAGTAATTCGTC